AGGACCCAACTTACAATGGATTAACCATAAGTCTCGTAATTGAAAAGGAGCATTCCAGTTGTTGCTGAATTTGAGGGTTAATAGGTTATCCGATAGATCTAATGATTGTAACCTGGTGAGATTATCAAAATGGACATCGCTGATTGTTCCATTTAAGTCATTATATGAAAGGTCGAGATCAACTAAAGAATTCATGTTTTTCCCAAAATCATTTGGAAGGGGACCACTTAAGTGATTGTGATAAAGATAAAGTGTTGCAAGATTAGAGCTTAGATTGAACAACCAAGGGAATATTGATGATGTGAACTTGTTTTTATTGAGAGCAAGAGTTACAAGAGATGTAGAAAAATTCAAATGGTTTGATCTCAAGTGCAGGTGGACCGATGAGAGAGTTTGTTGTTGATTTTTTACATGTCTCTATCTATGATAACAACTAAAGGTTTTGGAAGGTGAAGCTACTTTCAAGCATCATTTCTATATGATGTAATGGTTTTAAATATTGTTTTATGACCGCGATGATTTTTGTGGAATTAGTGCCTTTAATTCCACTAACACGGAAAGCAAAACCTAATTTCACTTTCTAACTCAAGTTTGACGAAGTCTAACCTTGAGAGAGAGTTCGTTGTTGATTTTTTACATTTGTCTCTATCTGTGGAAATAAATAAAGGTTTTAGAAGGTGGAGCTACTTTCAAGCATCGTTTCTATATGATGTAACGGTTTTAAATATATTTTTATGACTGCAATGATTTTTGTGGAATTAGTGCCTTTAGTTCTACTAGTACAAACAACAAAACCTAATTTTACTTTCTAGCTAAAGTTTGACAGAGTCTAACCTTGTTTTTTGCTTTATATGAATAAGAAAAATTCAATTTCCCACAAAACAACTTTGTGATCTACCTATCACATATTTTTCCAATTTTTAAATATAAAAAAATCAATTCACATAATTTATAAAAATCTGTTTATTATAATAATTATATATGAAATTAAAAAATATAGACTAAATTATCCATGTAATTAATAAAACAGATTTGTTTAATAAAATAAATATTAATTTTATGATGGACAATTTAAAAAGTGATAAATGTTTTTTTGAAATTTATAATTGTACTTATAAATAAAAATAAAGAGATACATGATATTCGTTCTCTTATATTCGAAAATGGAGGTAATGCAAATAAAATGCTCTCTCCCTCCTCTTTTTCCTTATTCCAATCTGTATAAACTCAATTCAACGAAGGCAGCCTTCGTACTATGTATAATTGTGCCCCAATCATATAACTAGTAATGCTGGTTTTGCCTTAACGCTAACTCATATAGGATGTGTTTGGATTTTAATTGAAAAAAATTGATTAAGAAAAAAATTGATTATTAGAATGTGATGGTGTTTAGATAAAATTTCAAAAATTGATTATGATATTAATTTTTTAAAATGAAATAAATTTCAGCTTATTCCAAATGGAGTTTTAGAAACCAAATAAAGTTTGAAAAAATTAGGGTGTTTGAATAAAATTTTTTAAAACCAAGTTTTGAACCTAGAATTGATTCTAAAAAGGTATCCAATAGGCCCATACCATCCTAATACGCCGGACTTTTCCCTCTTTCCTGTGCTCGAGAAATTATGTGAGTGCAAACTAAAACATCGCTCTTATAATATTAAAATGTTTTAATGGGAAAAACTTATATATTTAGTGGTATATATTTAAAGTTCTTGTTTCTAATTAAATTACTCCCTCCGTTAAAAAATGTAAAACATTTTTAACTAAATCTCACCTTTCAATAAAACGTTTACTTATTTTTCAATTAACTCTATCTTTTTATATTTATTCTTATTAAACACCTAACAATAAATAAAAAGTCATTATCAATAGAGGTACTTTTGAAAAAAAGGCAATGATTATATCTCGAAAGATTAAAAATACCTTATATTTTTTAACATCTAATTCTTCAAAAAATACTTTATATTTTTTAACGGAAGGAGTAAGATATATGTATCTTTTATATATTATTTATCTATAATAAATTATTGTTATTAATATTATTAACATATTAAAATTCACATGCATTAATTTAATTGAATAAAAGTATATTATACATATAAGACTAAGTACATTTCAGTTAAAAAAAAAAAGCCTGTACATCAATTTTATCCTACTTTAATTTAAATAATCCCTTAACTTTTGTTTGTTGCATGTTACAAAGTGATTCTTGAAGTTAAACTTAAAAGTTTAGGCCAAAGAAAAAAAGTTAAACTTAAAAAGTGTTTTGAAACAGTTTTTTTTTAACAATTTTAAAAGAGTCTTTATATATATATGTATATGTATGTGTATATATATATATATATGTTAGTTTACGTACACAAGTTTCAGGAGCTCATTAAAATTAGAACACGTTTTTAAATTTAAAAAATATTTATATAAATATTTGTAAATAACTGATTAACAACGTGTTTACAATATCAGTAAGAGTTAATCCTTCAACTTTATAAATTATTATGGCCCAAATCCACAATGTCCTGGGATTGGAAACCATCTTTAGTGCCGTTATTTGATTTGATGCCACCTTAGACCACATCAAATCATAAAGATCTTGGGTTTGGGCCTAATGAATAATAAGAATTGGTAAGTCCAAATGAGTCGACGGTTGAGCCTCTGATTCTGTTCACTTCAGTCTTATATTTGCTTCTAGCCTGTTCCTATTTTAATTGCCTTCCTTCCATATGAGATGTTTTTCCATAATAGTTTGATTGCCGTTAATTAATACCCAATCCCAGGTGCTGGCGAACGAATTAATTCTTCGATAAGCTGCACCTATTGAGTCACAAAGAGATTAGTCACATACTCACATAGTCACATACAATATACTTGACAGATTAAAAAATTATATAAAAAAAAAACATGTGAGCGAGCGAGCACTCATTTTTTTCGTACTTATTTATTCTTATTTTCATTTTTTTCAATGGCCATTTTACAAAAAAATGTCATTATAACTAACATAATTGCTGGAGGAACAAAAAAAAAAAAACTAACGTAGTTATTACCCCCAATTCAAATATTGATTCAGACATAAAACTTCTCATTTTATGAAACTCTATTGGCTAATTGATATCCTTCTACCTAAATTTTTCAATATTTTTACCATCAGGAAAATACCTAATTTTCAATATGCGTGTGTCAAAATTATTTCCTTCGTGTTACAAATAAATAATTAATGATTACTATTCTGTGAAATATCTTACATATTCAAATATAATCTAAGTTATATATTAAATATCGACAATGCTGGTGACTGTTAAATATTAATTAACCTTTAACGGCCAACATTGCAATGACTTCTTATCTTATTCATTACTCTCCTTCTATTTTCTTTAGCCATTAGAAAATTTCAAAATGCAGTTCTTTAAGCGAGAGGCAGCTCCAAGTTCTTTAGTGGCACAATGATTGATCATGCGAACTAATTATCTATTTGGCATGGCACTTCGATTAAAATGACGAATCTTCACACCTTTAAATGTAAATACAAGATAACTTTGGAATATTAGACTTAAAAGAAGTCCAAAAAAAATTCACATCTTACTAAATTAGGAATATATAAAAGTTAGGATATGTTTGACTAAATTGTTTAAACTATTTTAATATAATAGATTATCCTAAAATATACTTAATATAAATTTAATATGATCTCATGAGCTATTCAATCAAGGATAAAAAAATACTAAAAAATAAAAGGTTAGAAAAGGAAGAGAGAAGAGGGAGGAGGATACCTAGAGTCTTGAAGACTAAAAAAAAAAAAAAAACAAAGTATAAGTCCAAATAAAAAAAAGAAAAAAAATGAAAATGAAAAAATGTTAAAAAAAAATAGTATAGGGAATATTAGATTTAAAGAGATCCTACATCTAAAAAAATTTAAAAATAAATTAAAAATATATTAAATTTAAAATGTATCTAATTAAATAATTTAAACTATTTTGATGTAATAGACTATCCTAGAGCACTTAATATAAACCTATCACAGAATTTATATGAACTGGTTCGCGTCATTGTCAATAGAGATTACAATAAAATTGCAATTCAGGCCAACACATACTCTTGTTATGAAAGAATCATCTTTATCAACAACTTCATTGGCTTGTATCCATTTTCCTGAAGGATGATCTCCAGGAGAACAAAGCCTGCCTAGTGGGATTCTTCTTGTAGCTAGAGCCATCAAAAGATTGCAATTGTGTTCATCCTGGAATTTGTCCAAACAAGTTACTATTCGATAAATATGACAATTCAATTAATTTAATTGATGAATGCCAGTTCTGAATAATATTTTATTATATATAAAATAAAAAATCTCAGGAGATTCAAACCTCTGCACATTAATAGTTTGTTTGGTTGTGTTTTTATTTTTTATTTTTAAAATATCTTTTATAATTCAGTTTTTAAACTTATTTCTCAGAACCAAAAAAAATCAGTTTGAGAATGTTAATTTAAAAATAATTTTAAAATTAAAAAATTAATTAATAGTGATGATAGTTGATAATTAATGTTAGTGTCTTATGATAGAGACGGTAGGTTTTAATAATTAAATGTAATATATTTTAAAAATAAAAAAATGGAAATAATTTTTAGATGTTTTTATTTTAAAAAACAAAAATAGAATAATTTTAGAAATAATTAAATTTAAAATACTTATTCAAACAAGTTTTTAAATTTTTTTATTTTAAAAATAAAACATTGTTTATGAAATGAAAACCAAACTAAGTTCCATGAGTTTTTGTTTTTTTGTTTACCTCTTGCTTTTTAGCTTTTGGAACTAGATCCAATCTTTCACCATTTCCTCAACAGAAATAGAACTGACGAGTCCATTTGAGTGTGGCCCCTTTAGTAAATGACCCAATTCAATTCCTATGAGCTCAAGCCGCCTCTACTGACTTTTCCACAGTTGGAGATTGCATATATAGAATATAATCAACAAATTCATATTAGTATTTAAAAAAAAAAAATCATATTAGACTGCGTATTCTTCTTTAGCATTCATCGCTCTACAGCTTCTTTAACAATGGCTGATGATAAGGTGGAGATTGTTGTATTAGACTGTGGGTTCAGTATGTTTGGGATGAGGGCTAGGATTGCTCTGGCCGGGAAAGGAGTTCAATATAAGCGCCTGGAACAAGATCTGACGAACAAGAGCCCTCTGCTTCTGCAAATGAACCCAATTCAGAAGATGATTCCAGTCCTCATTCACAATGGCAAACCCATCTGCGAGTCCCTCATAATAGTCGAATATATCGATCAAGTTTGGAACCACACAGCTCCTTTACTTCCCCCTGATCGTTATCTCAGAGCTCGAGCCAGATTCTGGGCTAATTTCGTTGATCTCAAGGTAGAAAGATTCCTTAAAGGCCTTAACACCACCAATTTAATTTACTTACAAATGCACAGGCATGTCTCACAGAGAGCTTGAAAAAGTGCAGGTGTATGGAGCTTCCAGGAGAATATGGAATTCGAATGGAGAAGAGCAAGTGAAGGGGAAGAATGAGTTCATAGAGAGCTTGAGCCAAATGGAGGAGGAGCTTGGGAACAAGGTTTATTTTGGGGGTGACATGTTTGGCTTTGTTGATGTTGCTCTCATTCCTTTTTATTGCTGGTTTTATACCTACGAGACGTTTGGTAACTTCAAGATAGAGGAAGAGTGCCCTAAACTCATAGCTTGGGCTAAGAGATGCAAGATGAGGGAAAGTGTGTCCAAATCTCTTGGGGACGAGAAGCAAGTCTACGAGTCTGTTTTGGCCTACAAGAAATCATCTAGGCTCGCCTAGGCTGATTCTAAGCAAATTACTGCACCATATCTATTTTTTACCAACCAAATATTCCATGCATATTAGGGAATCAACAGCCGACATCTTTGTAGACAGTGTACCTCAATCTCAATCATGGTTATCTAATCGATGAGCTGGTTCCACTTGGGTTTGTCTACTTATTGATAATCTCAATAATTGACATTAGTTTGTCGGATGCAATTCACTGGTTTGTCTGTAAACTATAATTACAATGAAACATCAGCAGTAAAAGTAAGCAAGAGCTTAGTGCGTTTTCTTATGAAAATTTCAGAACATCAAGGGCATATTTAAGTCTCATTGTCCGCTTAAAGGTCTTCAAATCTTATATCATTCACGTGCAAGATGATCTTATCTCTGACTTTTAATTAAAAACATAAAGAATGGATGAGTATATTGGAGTTGAAGGAATCTACCAGAAAGCAACAGGTGAGCACAGAATAATAAATAGAGAAGGGAAAAAAGAAAGAAAAAAGAAGGAATTAGTGGTTGAGATCAATCACCTATAATATCTTCCTCGTACTTGTGCCCTGCACAAGTGAAAGATTCATCTGAGTTGGACAATGGCGGAAGAAGAAGAGGTGGTGTTATTGGACGAGTGGCTGAGCATGTTTGGGATGAGAGCCAGGATAGCGTTGGCTGAGAAGGGAATCAAATACGAGTACAAGGAAGAGGATCTGAGCAACAAGAGCCCTCTGCTTCTGCAAATGAACCCAATTCACAAGAAGATCCCTGTCCTTATTCACAAAGGCAAACCCATCTGTGAATCCCTCATAATAATTGAATACATCGACCAAGTTTGGAACCACACAGCTCCTTTACTTCCCTCTGATCCTTACCTCAAAGCTCAAGCCAGATTCTGGGCTGATTTTGTCAACAAGAAGGTAGTTTCCTAATTCTCCAGCACCTCTTGATCTAGTTCTCAAGGCATTATCTGCACTGATATAGACTCAATCCGAGTCATGATACATAACTTCAATACATGGATCATATGGTAATTAAATGCAGGTGGGAGATGTTGGAGGAAGGATATGGGCTGGAAAGACAGAAGAAATAGAGGAGGCAAAGAAGGAGATGATAGAGGGCTTGAAGCAATTGGAAGAGACACTGGGATATAATACTTTCTTTGGAGGTGAAACCTTCGGGTTTATTGACGTTGCTTTGATTCCATTCTATAACTGGTTTTACACTTACGAGCAATTATGCCAGTTCAAGGTGGAAACGCATTGTCCTAAGCTCATTGCCTGGGCTCAGAGATGCATCCACAGGGAAAGCGTTTCCAAGTCTCTTGCTGGTGAGAAGGAGATCTACAATTTTGTTGTTGACTTCAGAAAGAAAAGTCAATTGGATTGAAGAAACATATGCGAGTTGAAGAACCTGTGCCAAGAATAAACAAAAATAATTAGTTTGATGAAAAACATGCCTGAGTTTGGTGTGTTTGAGGACGAAGACTTGGTTGTGTCTGTTGATTACAGTAAAATTAGTTGATTGTAAGAATGTGTTGTTGATGTTCTTTTACAATAATAAGGGGAAGAAAAAAACACTAGGTTATTTCTTCGGCATTTGTTGACTTGTGGTTTCTGAGGTGTGAAAAGTCAAACTATGGACTCATCCACACCCATGGCATTCTGCAGTACCATGACATGTTTGTTACTAAATTAATTCAAAACCGCAATTGTAACCTCTTAATCAATTTATCCTTCATCCCAAAATTATCTTCTTATGCTGCAACTAATTTTTATTGGTAAAGACTTAACCCGAGAAAATTAGTCTTGCTAACGGAAAGAAAACTAATTATCAATATGTTAAAAATCGCATATGAATTCTAAATTAGTTTGTTGCTCATCCTTCATGGTTTTAAACTAGTGACTGTTGGAATATAACCAGAGATGCATGTAAGGGGAGAACGTTTCCAAGTCTCTTGCAGGTTACAAGGACACCAATGAGGTTTTTTTTTTTTTTTGGGGGGGTTAATTGAAGAGAAAATACTCGACAAGAGAACACACAAAAAAGAAAAGAAAATAGAAGTAATGGACTGCTTGGCCCTTGACTGTATTGAGGCAGACAATTGATTGTGGTCTCAGTACCAGGATGTGCCTCTGAATCAGGAGAATCAGATGTTTTTGAGAGTGTCTACCACATGTTCCTTTACGGTTAGAATCTTTGTTCTGTGTTCAGGATTTCTTGCTTTCTCATATTCATAAGTCAAATGCTGTTGTTCTTACTGAGCTGCGAATGATATTGAATCTCACGAGTTGCTCCTTCCTAATGTATTTCTAACACGCTCTGTTGCTCAACATGAAGTAAAATTTTCTTTTACAATATCTATTAGTTAAAATTTGAAGCATTTCTGGACGGGAAGCCAAACTTTTAACTAGTCACGGACCCGGAAAAATTTGGCGGTGGGGGTAAAAATTTGTTAAATAATTGTTAGAGAATAAGGTATAAAGCATACAATTATAATGGTGTGTTAAATAAAACTATCTAATATAAATAAAATTTAACCACTTTTCAGTATTAGAATATTTTTGGGATAATTTTTTTATTTAAACAAGTTAAAAAATATTTTTTAAAATATTATCCCTTTATTCCTAAATTATATCATTATTTGAAATTATAACATATAGGTTAGATTGGGGTTAAATTTTGGAGAGATAAGTGAAACTTTTAAGGAGGTAAATTGATTTTTCTTTGAAAAAATAACAATAAAATTATTTTGAAATATATAAATAATAATTTGATATCTCAAAATATCATAATTCCTTTGAAGTCTTTAGAAACTTTCTATCATTAATGAATTATATAAATTACCAAATTGCTTAGTTTAAATATTCACAATTTTTCTTCTTATATTCGCAATAATGTAATAGCAAATCACAACTTCGTATATTAAATTCTTCATTTGTTATTGCATTGTTGCGAATATAAGAAGAAAAGTTGTAAATATTTAAATAAAAATTATGAATTATTTATTTTTAATAAAGATAATTTAATAATTTATGTAAATTTATTAATGATAGAAAAGTATCTAAAAATTTTAGGAGAATTATAATATTTTGAAATATCAAATTATTATTTACATATTTTATAGAAATTTTATTATTATTTTTTTGTTTTCCTTCTTGGCCAAAAAAAAAATAATTTTTTCTTTCAATAGAACGCAATTGAAACATTTTTAGGAGGTAAAGAAAGTTTTTTGAGTTATATATATATATATATATATATTTGGTGAGGGCAGTTGGCCCCTCTAGCAATCAGGTAGGTGTGTCCTGCTTTAACCTTTGATAGACTGAAGAGCCCTTTAACTTACTTGGGATTCTTTACATATTAGCCCTCAGCATGCTTCAAGATTGGTTGATAAATGGAAAGTCATATAGTGTTCCTCTAACGACATGGAATTTCTAGCCTTCGTGATTTACTATCCACAAGTTTTGTGGCTGTCCAGTGACCACGATGAATAGTCTGTTTACTCGAATAATGTTTACTGCCCTTTGGCCAAAACAAAAACAAAAACAAAAGAATAATATTTACCGTCTGAGCTAATTTGGATAAGGAAACATGTGGAAGACGTTCAACCATATATGGACACACAAAATTGGACCGAAACGTTGCCGATCATCCATTCTGTGTACTCGAAATTTCTAGTTCTTGCGCCTCACTGTTTCAGTCATTCAGCTAGAGATTTCAGTAGTCGTCTTGGATTATGGCGGACGAGGTTCTTCTGTTGGATGCAAAGGTAAGCATGTTTGGGATGAGGGCTAGGGTTGCCTTGGCCGAGAAAGGCGTTAAGTATGAGTACAAGGAGCAGGATCTGACCAACAAGAGCCCTCAGCTTTTGCAAATGAACCCAATTCACAAGAAGATCCCAGTTCTGATCCATAACGGCAAAGCCATAAATGAATCACTAATAATTGTTGAGTACATTGATGAGGTCTGGAAGGGTGAAGCTCCACTACTCTCCTCTGATCCTTATGAGAGAGCTCAAGCCAAATTCTGGGCTGATTTCATTGGTTCCAAGGTTGGTATCAGTTTTATCACTGTCTAAAACGATATTTATCAGTATTGATAGTGCTATCAAAATATGCAGGTTCATGAGGTTGGAAAGAGGATTTGGGTTGGAAAAGTTGAAGAGCATGAGCAGGCGAAGAAGGAACTGATTGAGAACTTGAAGCAATTGGAGGAGATGTTCTTGGAGACAAACCATATTTCGGTGGTGACACGTTTGGTTTTGTGGATGTTGCTTTGGTCCCATTTTATAAATGGTTCTATGTTTATGAGAAAATAGGGAACTTCAAAGTGGAATCAGAGTGTCCTAAAATCATCGAATGGGCTAAGAGATGCTTGAAGAGAGAAAGTGTTGTCAAATCACTTGCTGATGAGAAGGAGATCTACGAGTTTGTCTTGGGCTACAGGAAGAAGCTTCAGTTGGACTAAACAGAAAACATCTTAATTGGAAAATGCCAGGGAATTTTAGGTAAGACGCGAATTAAAGTATTCTGGTTCAGGATGGTTGGGTTTGTCTAGGTTTCTTTGATGGACAGACACTTGAGAGAATAAGGAAACTTGTTTTACTGACGAGATTTCCATGGTTTCTGGCTAAATATGTGAAGTTGCATGAAGTTATTAGACACATCTTAGTGTCTTTGCATTGTAAAAGAACCTGGCATATTTCTGTGTGTCTTATTAGCTATATAGCATGGATAATTCAAAAAAGTAAATGTATCTATATTCGATATGATACTTGTAGGATACTCCTGCATACATGTCCCATATCCTAACATTTGTGATATGATTTTTTTTAATTTTTTTACTATATCATTTAAAAACTTAAAAAAATACTTAATATTTTAGTTAATTCCTATAAATATTCTTATATTACTTTAGAAATTCTTGTTTTAAAATCAAAATACCTATATTTATATTATAAAATGTTAAAATATATATTATAAATATTCTCGTATCTGTATTCTAAAATTTTGAAAATTTGCTGTATCTTTGTATCATGTTGTATCGTATCGGATACTCATACCCGTATTTATGCAACCTAGCTTATTAGTTATTACTCGTGTCTGTATTTTACTCATTCTAGATTTCCATGGCTTGTAATAGCCGAATGCATGAAAATGTGTTTTATTACTCATGTTCTTCAATGAACACAATATAACGCGCGCGCGCGCACTGCTTGATTTACTTAACCCAGCCAAGACAGGACAAGTTGGTTGATTCTGGCACTTTACCTAAATCACCATTTTTTTAGATATACTTACAGCACATAATGAATCTGAGCTTTACAACTTGTTATCTGAACATGAAGTGAAGGCGCATCTAATTGTTCGTTTAATAGATGTATCTTTATTAAAAGTTGAAGCAAATTTAAGATGAAGAAAGAAACATGAGAACTTGAAATTAACCTATTGAGTGGCAGACAACTTCATTGTCTCCAAAAGGAACTCATACACACTTTGTGCTGATCAGGAAGAGACGAAGACACACTCTTTTATTAGATGTTCTCCTTTGCTTGTTTCCACTCTCTTCCCACTTCATGTCTATTTCAATTTAGCTACTTCTTTCGGTTCTAAAAGTATAAACTAATTAACTAATTTACAGAAATTAAGAAAAATAGGTAAGTTAGTTATATGTACTTGTATTTCTAAAATACCCCGTCTTTTAATTATTTATATTGGAGTATTATCAACATAACCTATATATCCTACAAGAATCTCACTATAAAGGTAGTTTAGGAAAAAAAAATAAATATGAGAGACAAATGAGATTATGGTTTTACATTTAGAACCAAAATAGACTCCTCAACTAACATGTTTGATTATGCATTACTCAGTCTTGACATGTGAAGACTTGAGAGAATAAGTCGTACTATTTATAACATGTAAGTGACTTGTTTAGAGTATTTTTATAATCTATTTTGATGTTGATGTATTGATAATTATGAATAGATTTACAAGCAGACTTGGTCTAAAAATAGATGAAGGTCATAGAGCTTTTGTGAAAACTAAAGAATAATACGAAAAGTTGTGTTTTGATGGAATGAGAGTTATAAGATCCCCTCTTATCAGCATAGTCAGCCCAGAATTAATTTAGGATCTGAGGCATTGGACCGCAACGAGGGCCTCACAGATACATCTAACTTTGTGAATGAGAACCGGAATTTCCTTGTGAACCGGGTTCATTTGGAGGAGAACCGGGATTCTCTTGTTCCTCGAGTCCTCAAACTCAAATTATGGTAACTTGAAAGATCAACTTGTTGAGCATTACAATGCATGGTGTCGTTCTTATGCAAATAACCTTTTATCTAAAATGAAATGGAACTAGCAAAAGTACAAAATAATTTTTTTAAAAATATCCACGTTATTGGAAAAATTAATTATAATATGATGAATTCACTTCAAAAATGTGTTATAAAATAAGATGGAGGGAATATTTTTTTTAAGTTTGTATATATGAAATTTACTTTATTTGACACTCTTGGTGCCTTTTATTTGTCTATAAATATATAGTATACATTATTTTGTCGATATATATTTTATATATCAAACACTCTGCAGGGAACCAACCACATGTTCCTTTACGGTTAGAATCTTTGTTCTGTCTTCAAGATTTCTTGTTTCCTCATGTCCAGGAAGTCCAATGTTGTTCTTCTGAACTGCTAATGATATGGAATCTCACAAGTTACTCCTTCCTAATGT